CCGCCCAACCGCCGGCTCCTGGCTTGGCTGGTGGTCTCCAACTCTACCCAACATTGGCGGAGCTCTTCCAGTTGGCGTCGAACGGCGCCGGTTAATTCGGGTTTGGCCAGGAGAAGTTCTTCACCTTCCTGCCGTGGGGTGAGGGGAGGTCAGGGGGGGCCTCAAGGTGTCCCCTCCAGATCCCCCCCTCATGGGAATTGGGGTGTTGGGGGGAAGGCTGTTGGCCGTGGGGGTGGTAGAGCTCCGTGGGGGTGGTGGAGTTCCATGGGGTGGTGGAGCTGCATGGGGGTTGTGGAGCTCCATGGGGTGGTGGATCTTCCGTGGGTTGGTGGAGCTCCATGGGAGTTATGGGGCTCCATGGAGTGGTGGAGCTCCATGGGGTGGTGGAGCTCCGTGGGGTGGTGGAGCTCCGTGGGGGTCATGGAGATCTGTGGACTGGTGGAGCTCCATGGGGGTTGTGGACCTCCATGGGGGTTGTGGGGCTCCATGGGGGTTGTGGAGCTCCATGGGGGTTATGCTTCTGCAGCCACTGCTGCAAGGAGAGGTAGTTGGTAGAGCTCCATGGGGATCATGGAGATCTGTGGGCTGGTGGAGCTCCATGGGGAGGTGGAGCTCCATGGGGAGGTGGAGCTCCATGGGGGTTGTGGACCTCCATGGGGGTTGTGGACCTCCATGGGGGTTGTGGGGCTCCATGGAGTGGTAGAGCTCCATGGGGTGGTGGATCTTCCATGGGGTGGTGGAGCTCCATGGGGTGGTGGAGATCTGTGGACTGGTGGAGCTCCATGGGGGTTGTGGAGATCCATGGGTTGGTGGAGCTCCATGGGTTGGTGGAGCTCCATGGGGAGGTGGAGCTCCATGGGGAGGTGGAGCTCCATGGGGGTTGTGGGGCTCTGTGGGACAGTGGATCTTCCATGGGGTGGTGGAGCTCCATGGGGGTTGTGGGGCTCCATAGGTTGGTGGAGCTCCATGGAGTGGTGACAATCCATGGGTCGGTGGGGCTCCGTGGGGGCGGTGGATCTCCAGAGGGGTTGTGGGGCTCTGTGGGGTGGTGGAGCTCCGTGGGGTGATGGATCTTCCATGGGGTGGTGGATCTCCATGGGGGTTGTGGGTCTCCATGGGGTGGTGGAGAGCGCCCCCCGGGGGAGGGAGAGAAAGATAAGAAACCATGATGGGGAGAGGAGGTGTTTAAACAGTACCCTTCTCTCTCCCTGGGAGGGAAAGGGG